GAGTCTTAATGTTAAATGAGATCCATTACCAATTCAACAACGATAACACATTAAGTTACAAAATTAGATGAGTAAATTATGATCTAATCCATATAACCAACAACATCAAGCATTAATTTCAAATATTTGGACTCGACTATATGAATTCATCTTCGTCATTTATTTCAAACTTTTGGTCATGCATTTATTTAAGTTAAATATTTTTAATCTATCTAATTCGTCTAAATAACATTATCCCTAAAATTATCCCTATTTAAAGAGACAGAAGGAGGAGTGGGTTCACGAAGGTTGGAGAATCATCTTCTTTCCATTTGACGTCACAGATAATTTTGCTCAGAAGACCCGCGAAAGTACCAGAGTCATCTTATTCCATTGTTTGACAGGATTGAAGGGGATTAAAGGTGGGATTGGATTAAAATAGTGAAATGGCTCACTTACCCTTGGTTTGGTTGGAAAAATTGAAAAGGGCTCCTCGTGGGATTGAAAAACTCGGCCGTAGGTTTTAAAGCCAAGAATCTCATCTGCAGGTAATTCAACAATCCCTTCTGCTGTGAGGGATTGTTTAATTCAGAAGTAGGATTAAATGGCTAATATCTAAAATACCCTCTACAGTAAAATACCCTCCACGCATTTTTACCTCTATTCCCCTTTCCTTTCACTTTCACACTGGTCCCCTTTCTCCATGGAAGTAGCAGATCTGACCTTGGAAGTGCTCGATCTGCTGATGGACGATGGTGATGCTCGAACTATTGATGGACCAAATTTGTCCATTGAAGTGCTCGATTTGGCCATGGAAGTAGCTTCTATGTATACCCATTTGTTCTCTCTGTCTCTGTATTTGTCTTTGTCCCTATCTGATGCAGAAGGCGAACCATGAAAAGATGAGGATTTTAACCAACTTAAAATCCACTTACTAAGGTAGTTGTTTGGTTTATTTGCACTTTTTTCCTCTCATTATTAAAAAATTAGCACATAAACTCTCTTTTAGAATGAAAGCTCATGATTTCAACGCAAAGTGTGTGAAAATATTCGGTTTACCTCAACTTTGAATAAAATGGTTTGGATTATATTAAAAAATAATAATTATTCTGTGGTGTTATGTCTCATTATATTTTAAAATTTTAAGATCTTAAAAAATTGTTGATCACCCATTTGTTTCCTTGTACAAGAAATCTACAAAAAAAAAATTTACATTNAGAAGGTTAGAGAATCATCTTCTTTACATTTGACGTCACAGATAATTTTGCTCAGAAGACACGCGAAAGTACCAGACTCATCTTTGTTCCTCCTATATATACCTTGCTCATCTCCTCCACTCTCATCGTGAAAAATCGCTCAAAGCATCTCACACAATAACAAATCTACTGCAAATTTTCATCCCAAACTCTCAATTCAAGCATACCCATAAAAAATGGCGCTTATTCCGAGCATTTTCGGTGGTCGCCGGAGCAACGTCTTTGATCCATTCTCTCTTGACATTTGGGATCCATTTGAGGGCTTTCCCTCCTCGACCACCCTCTCTGACCTTCCCTCTTCAGCTCGTGAGACCTCTGCGTTCGCCAACACTCGCATTGATTGGAAGGAGACGCCGGAGGCCGATTTGCCGGGACTGAAGAAGGAAGAGGTGAAAGTGGAGGTGGAAGAGGGGAGAGTTTTACAGATTAGTGGAGAGAGAAACAAAGAGCTGGAGGAGAAGAACGACAAGTGGCACCGCGTGGAGAGGAGCAGTGGGAAGTTCCTCCGGCGGTTCAGGGTGCCGGAGAATGTGAAGGTGGATCAAATCAAGGCTAGTATGGAGAATGGTGTGCTTGCTGTGACAGTTCCAAAACTGCCCAAGAAGAAACCAGACGTCAAGGCAATTGACATCTCGGGCTAAATGTTTTCATGGATTGGTTTGCATGGATTGATCGCGAATGGGAGTGTGTGGAGTCCCTTAATTCGGTATGTAATGTCACCGTGACAGTGTGTAAGTGGTGTGATGTGTATTCAATTATTAGTGGAATGCAATTGAAAATTGAATATTTGTATCTATTTCTTTTCGTAGAAATGTATAAAATATGAGTAATGTTACGTGGACTTAAAAAGTAGATTTAAAAATTAAACTTGATAATATCAACCATTGATTTCACTGTGAGTCCTAACATTTATTGGAATCCACTACCTATTCAATAGTTGAGATTATCAAATCTAATTTTTAAGTTGATCTAACATTACCCATAAAATATTTGTGACGTGGTTTAGAGCTTTAAATGCTAGTGATGTGGTTTACAGTTTGAAAGAGTAGTCTTTTCATATACCATCTCGACACTTTAATCTCAAGGAATCCAAATCCAAAGTGTGGATTAAATATTTGTTTTTGGTAAATTACAATTTTTTTAAATTATTATTTTTATTTTATTTTATACCCTCAACTATAACTTTATTTAAGTTCTAAAATTTTTTTTTTTTCTGTAGCCGATGCAAAAGAGGGAAAATAAAGTAATATTAGTTAATAACGGTAAGTTTTATGGGATTTTTTTTCCCTCTTAAAGATTTTCAAAATTGTTATTATTTATTGAAGTGATATTAAATAAAATTAATATTTTATTTAATAATTAGTGATTAGGGTAATAGTTAAGAAAATGAAATAAGAACAATAATTAGGGTAAAGTGAAATAAGAACAATAATTAGTGATTAGGGTAATAGTTATGGGGAATAAGGGCTAATCTCATTTTGTACTCTAAAAGATTGTTTGAATTTTAATTTGCACCCTCAAAGATCAAAATCTCAATTTACACCCTCAAAGATAGAAATTTGTATCAATGTGCACCCCCAAAGATCAAAAATCTCAATTTACACCCTCAAATATAGAAATTTGTATCAATGTGCATCCTCAAAAATAAAAAATCTCAATTTGCACCTTCAAAGATAGAAATTTGTATCAATATGCACCTAAAATTATATTAATAAATTATACCTTGATCCCCTCATGTTTGTCACTTAATCATTTGAACTCCTTCACATTTAGAATATTCTCTTTACATCTCATGACGTTTATGCATGTGTAACACATAACCACTTTTCGTTGATATATATTAATATAATCGTTAAAAAATATGATTTTATCCTAATATAAAATTATAATTTTATATTACCTTTTATTTTGTGAATTCGATATTCACTAAAGTTAAAAATCAAACTTACCATTTGAATTTCTAATAAAATGTAGATATTTATATAAAAGGTAATATGAAAAATATTATATAAATATTTATATTTTATTAGACATTCAAATGGTAAACTAGATTTTGAACTTTATAGTATATTGAACCTATAAAATAAAGGGTAATATGAAATTATAATTTTTTATTAGGATAAAATTATATTTTTTAACGGTTATATTAATAGATATCAATGAAAATGAGTTACGTGTTATAAGTGCACAAATGTCATAAGATGTAGGAGTAATATTCTAAATGTGAAGAGGTCTAAATGATTAACTGACAAATATGAAGGGATTTAGGTATAATTTATCAATTTAATTTTAAGTGCACATTGATACAAATTTCTATCTTTGAGGGTACAAATTGAGATTTTTTATCTTTGGGGTATACATTGATATAAATTTCTATCTTTGAGGGTGTAAATTGAAATTTTTGATCTTTAGGGGTGCACATTGATACAAATTTTTATCTTTGAAGGTGTAAATTAAAATTTTTGATCTTTGAGGGTATAAATTAAGATTCGAACAATCTTTCACGGTACAAAATGAGATTAACCCGGGGAATAAAGTATAATCTTTTTCCTCAAAGGAGTACTAGCTAGTGAATCAAAAAAAAAATTGAATGGAATGCCGTGCTTGTACCTGAGCTTTCCAATGAAGCAATCCTTATTTTAGTGGCATCTCTGCAATTACATTGCAATTTCTCATTAGGCAGCAAATTACGACCATCACTGAAAAACCATAAAGCAGATTTTCCATCCACATTTTGCACCGAGGAATATCGAGTAATTCATCTTTCACGTGTACTGTTCATGTTACTCGAATGTCTCCAGTAGAAAAATTAGACCGTCTCGGTTTCAGATGTTGAAATTGCAAACATATTAAGATGAATTGCTACGAATATAAAGAAGGTTGCATAAGAATAACAGACACAAATCAAGGAATTGTCCAATCTTAAGTGAGATTAATCTAAGTCTAGCTTGATTTATTAGATTTCTACCAACCGTTTATTTTTCAAACAATGTTACATTTATCACATCTTTTATTAAAATTTTCTCATACCAAATTAATGTAGGTGATCGGGTTGATTAGTGAATCCCTCTAATTTTCACAAATCAGCCTGATGACTTTCATTATCCCACATCATTTAATATCTCTCAAAAAGTTTGATATTCACAGCATTATTCTTATTGTTCACACATTTTGGGCAACCGATGATGGTTCATCGAACCGGTTTGGATGTCCGACAACAACGGAAAATTTAAGAATAATATTAGTTGAATTTAATTTATAAACACAAGTATTTGTAAGGATGCACGATCGATCAATTCAATAATGACAAAATGTCCTGAATTTTCAACCACATCCAAAGAACAGAATTCATAGTGCAATGTCCTGAATGTTCCAGCTTCCAACTCAAGCTCATCGTTCAATATCTAAGCCAATTATCAATTATGCGGTCTACATCATTTAACATTTAAACTAAAAAACCTAACATCCACATTCAACATTCCCGACCAACATTCAGAAATTGAAGAAAATATCACCAAGAAAGTTCACTCGAAAATCAAGTTCAGTACCCAAAATCGTAACATCTATTATATACCCGTTAAGCATTTACATATCAAAATACACCCAAATGATTTCCAGATCAAAACCCACCAAATCATCCACTCACATAGCAAGGTGTAAACACTTACAAGATGAAGAACACCACCAAAACCTAACCCTAACACACGCAACTAGCAGAGAAACGCAAACAGAAGACTTAATAATACCAGGAAATTAGTAGATCAATCAACCAGAGATCTCAATCGATTTGACGTCAGGCTTCTTGACCTCCTCTTTGGGCACAGTAACAGTCAATACCCCATTCTCCATAGCCGCCTTGATCTGCTCCACCTTCGCATTCTCCGGAAGCCTGAACTTCCTAACGAACTTTCCAGAACTCCTCTCCACGCGGTGCCACGTGTCTCCCTTCTCTTCCAAATCCTTTCTTCTCTCTCCACTGATCTGTAAAACCCTATCGTCCTCTACCTCCACTTTCACCTCCTCTTTCTTCAGCCCCGGCAAGTCGGCCTTGATCACGTGCGCCGTCGGAGTCTCCTTCCAGTCGATGTTCGCGTGCGCGAACGACGACGTTTCAGAAAAGGAGGAGGGGAAGTTGGAGACAGAACGGAATGGCCAGTTCTCGAACGAATCGAACACGTCGAGAGGGAAAGGGTCGAAGGTGTTGGGTCGACGGCCGAAGAAGTTTGGGATCAGAGACATTTAGGGAGTGTTTGGCTGAGTAGAAAATTAGAGAAAATTGTTGAAAAATAAGTCAATTTGTTTTCTGAGTATTTTGACAATGAGGGAGGTTCTGGGCGGTCGTTATAAGGAGTTCTGGATTTCCAGAGGGTTCTGACTCCAGAACGTTCTAGGCTCACGAACACTTGGTGACGCTTTTATTCTGATTCTGTTTAATTGCCATAAAGGACGATACTTTGCTGAATTTATTCAAAGAGACCGTCAAAAATTATAAACCTACTTACGGTGAATAAATATTCAATACAATTCTGACACAATGACGTGGTGGTGTAACCATTATATTAAATATTTTCTTGCATGATTGTCTAGCTTGCGGCAACCATTCAAGCAAACTTGCACCAATTTTTTTTTATTTTTTGGAACAAAAACTTGAACCAATTCGCCCATTTGTTTTTGAAACCATGTCATAGTGGCAATAATCTGCTCATTCTGTATGGCTTATTTGCAGTTATGGCTCACCTTGAGGACGAGTGGATAAAAATCTTTGTTTGAGAACACGACTGTGAAAAATTCAAGCAATTTTAGATAAGGGTGTCTATTGGTGGGCCCGGCCCAATGCTCATCCGGTAAAATAAGCCTAACGCAAGGCCTCACCTGAAAACTGGCCATCCCACCCCAAAGCCCGAGTAGCCAAGGCATGAGACACGCTGCTGACTCCAGCCCGCAGGCTGACTAAAGGTTCCACCCGCTGTACCCGCCTGCCAACCCGCAAGTTTTCATGTTTTAGTTATAAGTTTTAGTTTATAATTCATAAATTATATAAGAAGTAAGTTATAAACTTAAATCATAAATTAGCATTCTTAGGGGCTGTTTGTTTGAAGTATTAGAGTGGTACAAATGGGTGGTATTAAAAAAATAGTACGTAAGGTCCACCTTATACTTTGCTTGTTTGACATTTTATCATTGGTACTATTTTTCATATCGTAATACCGACCCGACATGAACAGTGACTTAAATGTCTTGTATACGATATTATTGAATATCACTTACTAGGTGGTATTATCTTTCCGGTACAAATAAAAGGACGGTATAAGAGACTAAAATGACACAAATGTCCTCATGTATAATTATCTTTTTAAGGTTACAAAGTTATAATTGTCTTTTTATCACCCATAGTTGCAATTGTTGACTTTTTTAAATAGGTATTACACAGATAATATTTGTGACAAACAAACAAAAAGAACGATGGGATTATAGTTTAAGACTAGATATAATATATCATTAGATAGGAGTGGAATAAAAATGATTTCTAATACCACCCAAATCTAGTATTCAAAACAAACAGCCCCTTATGGTACAATTTCACAATTAATAATTAAAAAACTTACGATTTGGTTTTGACCCGACCTGCCCCAATAATCTGGTAACCAGCAATAATTGTGGACCATGGGCCAGACAGCGGCTCAAGAACTAGCCGGAATCCGTCACGGTGCAAGCCCCATGTTTAAATACTTGGTTGATTGATATAAATTTGATTAAAAACTTCTACCTCCACTTTGATTTGGATTACAATTGATTTTATCTATCTGATTCGCTGACTGACTTAAGTTTGGCATGGACAAATAATACTTACACTATATTTTCAAGTACATTGGTTAAAAATCCTTATAGGTGATTCAGAGATTAAGTCTGGCCTCTAATAATTCAAAAATCTCTTGTTCAGCACTTCTCATATTTTTAAGAGCTAGTGATCTCTGTTCCTGAAGGAACATATTCTAAACTTGCTCGAGTTACAGTAGTCAATATTTGAGTTCAAAGAAATAGTTATTACAAGTTTGAACACCCTGTAACTAAAAAAAAAAGTATATTTCTTAAAAATACATGCTAGAAAAAGGGAAGGAGGGAGAACTCAATATATATCTGTTCACTTGTTGCTATGTACAGGAAAGGTTATTTGCCTCACATGTATTAACATTACCTTCACGAAGTCAATTTATGAGAAAAATTAACTCAGCAAATCAATTCAGACTCGATCCTTGATCCTTGAACTATATTTACAAAAATGAGAACAGATTGAATTTTCTAGATTTACAATTCTTTTGCCCCTTCAATGTCCTCCAAATCATCTTCTTCAACAGCCACAACCTTTGCAACACCAAGCCTCGACGAAGTGGCTCTAACCTTGAATGGTAGTCGGGCATTGCTCGTTGTAACATTGCTGTTCACAGCACCACATCCCTCTTCCTCTTTCTTCAAGTCCCCAGGAGGCAAGAAACAATCCATCGACAGTCCCTTGATGTTAAAGTCCACTTCTTCAATCGTCCAATCCTCTTCCATTTGCGTACTGGAATGGCTTTCTGAATTCTCACCAGACCTAACTAATGAAACAGACGTACTACCAGCATGTGCGATGTTAATGCCATCGAGGATCCGATAATCCTGTATTAATGACTCCATGGTCGTCTCCCAGAAGACACTGTTATTTCCAGGGACTTTGATATTAATGAGGTGAGTGTCTTCAAGTTTCACCAAGAGGCCTGTTCTTTGACTGAAGTAGCCCCAAACAGTGTGTCTCAGTATCTCAGCATTGCTGCTGCTTCTTGCTCTCAGTGTTGAGGACTCAGCTTCAAGCTTCAGTGCAAAGCAGTCTTCGTTGTTGATAGTCTTCTCACCGATGCAGATGGAATTGGAAAATAAAATGGCGGTGGACCTTGGATCAAGACCCTGTTTATGTGATTTAATTAGCAAGATCCAAAAAAAAAGATGTGATCTAATTATGAGCAAAAAGGTAAGTACTCAGTCAACTTGTGTTGAATTTCGAAACAGATAATTTCTTAATTCGGTTCGTATCACTTTGAGTTTACATTGTGTTTGGGTTGTCACAAAAATCCCACAAAACCACAAACATGAAGACTGAGATTCCCTCGAATAAATCCACCACACATATGTCCCTTATAAACTAAAATTATGCTTGATTGGCATCATAGCAGAAATAAATCATAACCATATAATTCAAACAATGATGATCAAGAAATTAAAAGACTTTCTTTATATGATACCAATTAAATAGACTCATTGGGTCCAAAATTGGATTACTTGGTTTGATGCTACCACAATCCATCGTTATTCTATTAATTGATTATATCATCTTTGTGTCCTTATTTTGTTAGGCTCAAGCTGTGTAGCTGCTCGTATAGAAAATTACCACAACTCATTATGGGTGATCAATCTAAAACTATAAGTAGTCTGTACAAAAAGGATGAGCAGAGCTGGGATAAGAAAACAAACAGAAATGTTTGACAACAATGAACTTTAAGAATTAGAGGAATTCTAGGTGAACATTAGACATAGAAACTCAGCTGGGTTGTCACTTGTCCAGGCCAGCTATTCCAACACCCAAGTGTAATCTAATAGGTCAAGAGGTTTGAATTTATATGATAATCAATTCATTAGGGCCATGTGGTCCAAGAGCTGACATTCTCTACACTAAGGACATGACATTGACACCAATCATAGCGTTGACATCATGATCCAAACCGTAGAACTCTAGTGGCTTAAGATATATATGTACAAGAAATGGAGAGGTCCTTTTGTTTGGTATATTCATGGTGCATGTGAATAGACCACAAATAAATGGGGCAAAGTGATGAGTTGTGTGAATATGAAAGGAATTTAAGAGTAGGCCCTGAGATCCTCTTTTCTTAAAGTTAAAATAATCACAAACAAGTAATGGTCTACCAGTTTTAACAACTGGCACCCAGATCCTCTAAAGTTACGACTTAATGACACCGTGAAGTGCGTGAAGTTCAGGAGATCTGGACTGCACGTTCAAAATTGTGTGGCTTGGAATGGTTGTCACCCATTCCTCTAGTCGATGAAGCTTCTAAGCTACATCATCTTGATCATGTAGCTTGGCCGCGTGATTTTGAATGTGCAACGCCCATCTCCTGAACTCCACCACCTTCATGGTGCCAGAACTTCACAATTAGTTCTAGGTAGGTAACAGATCAAGAGCCAGTTATAACCGAGTACAACCACTTGTTTTCCCCAGTTTAGGCCTCATATAGCATGGTAATCTGTAGGAAAAAAGGCAACTACTAGGAATCATTGATCACCCCCTTCCAGAATCTTTTTTCCGATTAATCAAACCACCCTCAAATTTCCCCCCTTCCATTATAATAATACATTTCTACCTCTTTCCGACCCTAAATAATTGGGATTAAGGTTTTGCACCTTTTCTCCTGGCTTTAATGCCCATTTATTGTACTCACCACCTTACCATAAGTTCAATAGTGAGTACCACAGAATCTTTTAAACTTCAAATCAAGCACACCACATTGTCAAGAAGTATATGGGTTATGGTTTGGTGGAAAAAAAAAACAAAGCAAGGACGATAAAGGGAATTTAAGGAAAGTGCGCCGTGAGCCCACCAAAACAATACACCGGCATCCATTACAAGGAGCTTTCGGGCTGTTTTCTAAGCCCCAGCTAGTTCTATCCTGGCCAAGTAACCAAAGCCGGGGATCTAATTGGGAATAGTGAAAGAGAAAGAAAGGGGTTCTATTTAAGAATTCAGATAAACAAATCGAATTGAAAACTTGTGTGAGCCTTTTCTATAACTTCTCTATTAGTTCTAATTATTATATGCTTTTCAAAAAACCATTATCCATTATGAATTCAAATGAAATTAATTGTATGGATTGCGTTCATGAAGCTAAAATCAAAGGAGGGAGAAAAAGTACCTGTAAGGAACGACGAAGTGGCCTAGGAGGACCACGAGAAGCATGGGAATGGTGCCATGGAGTCTGCCTCCAAGCCACCTTACCATCACTACCAGCACTGATCTTACACCCAGAAACCACCAGTTCCAAACACCACAAATCAGGCCTCTTTTGCCACAACAAGAACCCACCCACCTCTCCTCCCCCATTTCTCACACTCTTCATCTTCATCACCTTGCTGTTACTCAATCCGTTACAACCTAAACCTAAACTCTCATCGGCGACGAACTCCGACGCCGT